CATTGTCAACCGCATCCTCATGTATAATGGCAAATCCACAGCAAAAGCACCAAGTCTGGGTAGGCAGTACATCAACGGGAACAGAATAATTCTCGAAGCCGCAAGGAATGCAGGGGCTGACCGTCGCCTTTTCCATTTGATTTTCTTCGCCTGGACTCGGCCCACACGACTCGTTTGTTCCGAGCTTGCTACCATCCACTTCACTGAGGATAAGCAAGAGGCTTGGGTCAGCCCGATTTTCTTGCCCCCACATGGTGATCAGAAGCGAAAGCTGCGATGTTAAATCTCCCCGAGCTGGGAGTGCAGTTGCTGCCTCACACAGACTGGTCATTCTCTCTCTGGCATGTGGCTGCGTGCCGCCCTGCGCCAGAAGCTTCTCGCGATGCAGACCGAGAGCCAGCTGTACTGCATGTCAACAAGCCCCAGGCTGCAGTTGCTTAGAGGATTCTGACGAGACTAGCGGCGGGGAGCAATTGGAGTATGAGAAATTCCGCTGCCAGACCCTGCTGGACAATGCTGACATTCAGAAGCCACCAAACACAGGTGCCCCAAAGGTGGTGCGTGCCCAACCAAGAAATGCATCAAATGCAGCAAAAGGCAAGGCAGTACCCATGCAGCCTCCGAAGCAAGCGCCAGTGCAGCATGAAGACAACGCACCGTTGCCCACATTGATGTGCGATGTCCACACAGCGCAGAAAAGCTGGTGCGCCAGTCGAGTGCTTGCTCGCGTAGCCACAAGGCTACGCCAAGAGACGAAGGCGCAGGATCTGTCTTGGGAGTCGATCGGCGCTCCATCTCCGTGGAGTACAAGCGGGACTGCCCGAGACTTATACCCTGGCACCTGCTTCACGGGATGATGCCTGACTCCCGGATGTTCGGACACAGCTTCCCAGAAGCTCTCCAGAGCGTCTTGGCTGCGGCAAATGAGCTGTGGCTGTAGCTCCAGCACGCGATAGAAGACGTCTACTGGGTTGAGAGCAGGCATACTGCAGCGCATGCAAGCGTTGCCTATTTTCAGCCCCGGATTTCTGCGCAGATCAGCTCTGGGCAGGTGTTCTCGGCGCATGTTCGCCGGGTAGGTGCCTCTGAAGCTTAGGCCTGCCAGCTGCAGGAGCTCTCGAGGCACGTGCTGTCGCCCCACGTCTTCTTCCACCAGCGCGGCTATTTGCTGCAGCTCTGGAAGGCTCATGCTGCCCCACGCGAAAGTTCGCAGCAGGTGCGCCGCGAGCTTGCTGGTGACAGGCACGGGAGTAGCAGTAGCTAGCGCTACACTGCGGCTCCTGCCGCGCATGCCTGCAAGCAGCATGATGTCTGCTGCCATGGCTGCGAGGGCGGTTCTTAGCCCTTGCTTGAACCCCCCCTTCCCCACGCTCAAGTGTCAGGAGCGCGCATGCTGCCGAGGAGCCACGGGCTTCCTGGGGCAAAACTTCACTGTCAAGGAGCCAAAGGCATCCTCTGCTGTGCTAGAGTCTCACAATTATTTTTCCTCTTGGAGCTTGCGTCCTTACTTCGGTCTAGGCGTCACCCAGCATTTGCGTGAGGACTCGCGAGATGGCGTGCGCCTCACTCAGGGAGCATCTGTCAGGGTGGAAGGCCGCGAGCAGGCGCTGCAAAAATTCGCTGCGACACATGCCGAGGGTCAGCAAGAAGAAGCGCACGTGCGTCAGCTCTTCTCTGTCACGAACGGCGGCCAGCAGAGGGCGGGGTAGCTGAGCGGGAACTTCCAGGCAACAGGTCAGGTAGTCTGGACCAGCACAGGGCACTTCGGGTGAGTTGCGCTGGCGACAACCATGTGAGTGTCGGTTGCCGCCTGCGTGGCAGCGGCGGCAACAAAAGCGATGCCCATGGAAGGCAAGCCGGGTGCAGCCAGGGGTTGCGCAAGTGGACATCTCAGCCGAAACCTCCGTCGGCGAAAAACCTGAGGCCCTAGCACACATATTAGAGTCGAAACTTCCGCGCCCCAAGCCGTAGTTTAGTCGAAACTTCCGCTAAACTTCCGCTCCCGGCGCGGATTTTTTTCGATCGAATCGCGCAGCCTCGAAAAAAAAACGCGGACCGCGGCCGACGAGAGCCGAAGTTTAGTCGAAGTTTCCGCGAAACTTCCACTCGAGGAGTCGTAGTTTCGTCGAAACTTCCGCTAAACTTCCGCTCGAGGAGTCGTAGTTTCGTCGAAACTTCCGCTAAACTTCCGCTCGCGGAATCGTAGTTTCGTCGAAATTTCCGCGAAACTTCCGCTCCAGGAGTCGTAGTTTCGTCGAAACTTCCGCTAAACTTCCGCTCGACCGCCGGGATTTTTTCGATTCGCCGAGAAATTTTCTGGAAAACTCGGGCCCCCGCAGCCGAAGTTTAGTCGTAGTTTCCGCGAAACTTCCGCTAAACTTCCGCTCCAGATACCAGCCTAGCAGGAGTTTCGACTAAACTGCGGCAGCTGTTTCTTAGCTAGTGGCATCCCTACAGTAGGAGCCAGGGGCCTCCTGCTACAGGCTGCTATTCCTCATCTACAACTCTAATAGGAGCCACCCTAAACCCTAAAGCCTAAACCCTAAACCCTAAAGCTAGGAGTTAGGGGCCTCTTGCTAGAAACTACCATTGCCAGCTCTCTACAGAAAAGGAGCCAGGGGCTTCCTGCTGCAAGCTGCTATTCATTCGGATGCGGCTGAGCTGTAGACAACACGATTTTTGTACCTGCTGCGCTGCTTCTCCTAGTTTCTTCGGCTTCCCCGTACGTCAGAAGAGCCCGACCCCATAATCAGGGTCTCCTCTGAGTCCTCGTCGCTGTCGCTGTAGGTCAGGGCTTGTTGGTAAGCTTCGTAGAGGCGGGCGTGTGCGTAAGCTGCTTCGATTAGGGCGTTGAGGCGAGCCAGCCAACGCAGGCTTCCTTCTTTAGGCGAGGGCTGCTCCAGCTTGGGCGGCATGTAGTCAGTTGTTCTTGCCCTCTTTGGCGGCGGCGTTCTGGGAGGGCTCGTCGCCATTGCTGCAGCGCAAGCACCAGTAAAAGACCTGGAAGCCAGCAGCTACGATATGCTGCGCTGCAACGCCTAAACTCTAAATCCTAAATTCCTACGCCCTTAAATCTAAACGTATAATTAAGACCCAGACCCTACACAGTCTCAAGACCTGACTCTGCTATCTGGGAGGAGCTGTAAAGCGTCCTACGCATACTTGCTTCCTTTTTTTGCCTGGCGCGCTTGTGTCCCCAGTGAGATAGTAGATCATCAGATCTGTCAACCCCTACTTCGTCTACGACAAAGCGTTCAAACCTTTCAGCAGGTCCTGGGTTGCCATTAAGGCAACAGAAGTCTTCTGCAGCAGCTCCCTCACTTCAGCCAAGTCCAAGTTCTTGAAGAGCTTAGCGCTTGGCCGAACCTGCTAGGTTGAGGGCCTCGTCCACCTTCTCCAGCACTTCAGGCGCCCACTCTGTTGGCGAGGCTTTGGCGTCCTCCAAAGCAAGCAGGTTGTTCTTGGTCTTGGGCTTGCTGAAAGCGGAGTTCACTCTCAGGCTAGGGTCGAAGCTGCCGAAGAAAGCGTCGAAGCCAGCTCTGTGCTCGTCGGTCAGCTGGAGGTCCGCCTGCTTGGTGCCCACTTTCTGCTTGCTGCTGGTGGCGACGCTGGTGGAGACGGTTTGGAAAGCGTAGAAGACCTTGCCGTTTTCCTCCACTTCGAACACGTCTCCGCTTTTCAGAGCGGCCTCAATAAGCTGCGCTTCTCCTCCCAGTTTTGCGAGCATCAAAGCTCTGGGTTTGCCCTTGGTCTCGCTTTTGCCAGTCGCCGTGCGCTAGAAGGTCGAGACTTGCTGCAGCACGGGCGTCTGCAAGTCAAACTTCCACTTGCTCGCCTCTCCAGCACCGGCCTGCACCACGTTGTTCACCAGGCGGGTTTTCTCGGCCTTAACAACAACTAAACTTAACCAGATTCTGAGCCCTTAATTTCTGACATTCTGCGCAGCAATTAGGAGCCCTAGGCTTCCTCTAGGTAGTCTGCTAAACAACTGCAGGAGCCGTGGGCTTCCTGGAACTTATACTAGAAGCCAAGCAACTCTGGGCACTTTGCCGCTCTGCCAAAGGTCTTGCACGTCCTGGGGCAAGGTGTGGAGGTACTTGTTAAAGAACCAGGTCTTCTTCTTGTCGCGGGACTCCTTGCCGGCGTCCTCCTGGCCCTGAGCCTCAGGGGCTTCCTGGGCTACCTGAAGCTCGCTCAGCTTTGCAGCCTTGTCACGGTCCTGCTGCGCTTTGTTCTTCTTGGGCACCTTGAGGTCAGCGCCAGAGCCCTCCTCCTTGCCGGCTTCCTCTGCAGGCTTTGGCTGGCTTCCGTCGCCTTCTTGCAGGCAGCCTTCGTCTTGGCTTTGGGAGTGGCTTTAGGCACGGCTTTAGCCTTGCCTTTAGCCTTGGCCTTAGCCTTGGCTTTGGCTTTAGGCGTGGCTTTGTCTCTAGCCTCCTTCTTCTCCTTGCTCGTCTTGCCCTTCTTCTCGACCTTCAAGGATGGTGCAGCCTCTGCGGTCTCGGCAGGCCTGCGCCACTTCCAGGTCGCCCTGGCTGTCTGCAACACTTTGCTGACTCTGTTGGAAGAAGTTCAGCACTTGTTGGGAGGCCATGACTCGTAGGCCACAGCTGGAAGGCGAGGGCAAACTACTGCTACACTGGACCCTGTCAGAGATTGCAAGCACGCGGAGGTTTTAAAAAGGCGCGCTTCTACAGACACTTACTACAACACAAGCACACCTAAGACCTAGGAGCCAAAGGCTTCCTTATGACTGGTTACGAGCTACAGGAGCCTGAGGCTTCCTATTAGCACTTTAGATTAGCAGGAGCCAAAGGCTTCCTTAAAACTGCCTACGAGCTACAGGAGCCTGAGGCTTCCTATCAGCACTAAGTCTAGCAGGAGCCTAAGGCTTCCTTCTGTTGCTCTACTACTTACACTAACTTTTCTCTTTACCCTATATACTTCTCACCTACAAGGAGCCAAAGGCGTCCTGAGCAGGCAAGCACTTTTTTTCCTCAAAAACTACGCCTGGATCCCTCCGAGGTGAAACTTAGGGAACACTTGCGCATCCCCCTCCAGCAGGCCCTGCTACTGACGCCCCTGGCCAAGCAAGCTGTGGTCAAGCCAAGCGCCGCGGCTTGACTTAAGGCACTGCAAGCAGTGCCACACGCGCCTACTACCAGAACGGCGTTTGTGTCAACCCGTGCTGCGCGACTTGGCTGCATTATTTAGGGTTTAAGGTTTAGGGTATAGTCAGGACAGGATGCCTCAGGCTCCTTTAAGAGGAAGCCTATGGCTCTACGCTGGGATTATCGTTTGGCCAGAGATAATCCCAGACGTGCTGCTTGCTGGCGCCTTCCACCACTCCTTGCGCTTGACCCCTTTGGTTCCTCGCTTGGTGTACCCAGTTGCGCTGCGAGCTGGCCGTTTGCCACTGTAGAGCACCTGAGCTGCGCAGTTTAAGGAGCCAAGGGCTTCCTTCTTTCCTTGATCTAAGAGAACCCTAGCTTACAAAACTAGGGCCCGTTATACGACTGGGCTAGGGCCAAATCGTGGC